AAAACCCCAAAACCCCAAAACCCCAAAACCCCAAAACCCCAAAACCCCATGAGGTGAATGTAGAAAATTTTAGACTCTCAATGATATTATTCATAAATATAAATCATACTTTCATTTTCATAAGTGTCTTTTCATCTAACTACTACTTCCCTAATGCACTGCTTAGGATATCAAGATCAATAATATCTTCCTAGAATGCTTTTATTAAGTTTTCGTTTATGATTTCATTATTATGGCCTAAACAATCAGCATCTTTCAATAGCTTTTGAAACATAAGTCCAAACATTTTTGTAGTTTTATTAGGCTTTCCAAAGGTGTTACCTCTAACCAATTCCTCAAGCAGTCTTAGATATGTCTCTTCTGGAACAGTTCCAGCTAGTTTCTCATCAAAAAATTTAATCCAGAAATTTATTAACTTATCTTAATCTATTTTAGCATGCTCGAAAATGCAGTAGAGTTGTAAAAATTACTCCCAATTTACCACACTAGTTGACGAATCTACATCGATTCCTATTGCCATTAATATCCTTTTTCTGATTGATGGCAGTGTCCCAGCAATAAACTAACAATGATCGATGAAGTACTATATATTGACACCCTCTTATTAAAGAGGATTATGCTTCATCAAACTATTCTTTCTGCTTCCAAATGCAGAGGAAGTTGACTGCTTAGAGGCCCTCAGGTCCTGCTTCTCTTAGTCTATTATCTATTCAGAAACCAATTGCATAGATAAATAAAGACTCCTGATTTCATAGACTTCCTTTCTGCTCAATTTATTTTATTCGCAGATTAAGATTATCTCTGAATTCTTGAGCAATTTATCAGAAATTTTTGGGGTTTAATAATTGGTTTGAGTAGAATTCATAGATTTGTTGAAAAGATGACTGGAAGGTTATCTAACTTGCAAGTTATTTGGTGAGAATACGAGTCTATTCTTGAATGTTATCTTATTGACTTTGATGTCTTTCGGAGTCATATTTAGTAACTTAATTTCTTATTCACTACTATCTACTTTAATATTATTGAGTTTCTCTAGGGCATTGTCAATAAGACTTTAATTCATTCGCTCAACATTGGCTGGAGTTCTAAGATGACTGAAATTTTTATGTCTAAACTATCTTTCATGGGATTATGAATCAATCTACTTCATAATGTTATGATTTATCTTTGATATTGATTTTTATCGAACTTAAACTACTTTCTCGCAAATAATTCTTGCAATTTCATCCTCTAGTTCATCGTGAATATAAACTTCATCCCATAACTCTTATAAAGCAGTCATAATAAAAGACTACTTTTAAGGCAATAGCTATAGCGCTGACATAAATTTTAACAAGTCATGATTATTTGAGTTTACTGAAGATTGTCTCAAAGCAGTTCTTTACCTTGCAAAACTATCCATCAATTTGTGATCTTTATCTTAGTTTTGAAACATTTGCTCTGTGAATTCCTAATATGCAGCTTAATTAGTCCTATCTGCTCTCTCTTACTTGGGACTTGATTGAAATGTTTTAAGATTATTATCAGTTACTGTGCAGTCTGAGGGGAATCTGAAGTTCTAATTCTTCTTAAGCCATTTAATGCAAGCTGTTTAAAACCAACTCTGAACTTGAGTGGCATATTGCCCATTATTGATTGCATTCTCAAGTTTTGAGCTTTATCCTCTATTATCGAATGAGTTACGCTATTCATCAATCAAAATTTACTCTATCTTATTAATATTTTAGAGTCCTTTGAATTTTTTAGATGGTGAGGATACTAATATTCTTGCATTTGGAGGAATCTAAATAACAGAGGTGATTCTCTATCCATATATGGTAAATAAGGCTTTTTAATCTTTACCAAATCTTGCTCCAATATCCTAAAGCATTTCCTATAAATTTTATTTCTGAATGATGTAAGATGGAGCTGCTAAATTTAGCTTCTCAAAGATATTAAGTCTTTATGCATTTTATGACTCCAAAATTTTATCTGGAATCATTCTCAATAACTTTTCATTCAAATCTGCATAATGAAATTCAATCTCTTTATCGTATAAGTCTTAACAGTCTTTAACAACAAATATACTTCTTTTCTCTAATTATTTAGATTATTCTCTTATTTTATCCTTTTACTTTTGGAGAAAATCTCGCTTCTTTTACTCTGGGCTTACTTCCAACTCTTAAAGCTATTCTTGAGATAATACATTTTATCTCTTGGGCATATATAGAGGGATTTTGTCTTGCTCTCTTTTATTTCTAGCTTACCTCTGGGGTCTAGCATTAAGTACGATAACTTCACTGGACTTAAGCAATCTATCTAAATTTCTCTTTTATGTTCGCATTTTATCATCATGATCAAATATATCATTCGCATAACTAAGCTCATTTGGGAGTCTTCTGTAATGAGTTGTCTTATTATGAGGGGAGATCAAATTAGATTAGCTCAGGTTTGGCAAATCTATAAAGTCGTGATGACTCAACTTTTTACTGCGAGATCTTCTGCCCTCTTTAAAATGATTGTTAAATTCTGTCCATAAATGACTTTCAGATGGCAATAAACGACGATTAAACTCCTACTAGATTAGTTTGTTGTTCATGAGAGTGTTGTTTAAATTATTAGGATTTTTTTGTATCTTATTAAGAAAGTCCTTGTAAAATGTCTTATTATTAGAAAGCTTGTTATAATGATCATTAGAATAGTCTTGAGATGAATGAGTTGGGCCTTATTTCTTGAATAATATAAGTTTAGGAGTATTTGGATTTTCCAATATGCCATTAAAATGCATTGTGTCATAGAGTTGATTTTTTGTTTGAATTGCCTTTTGAAAGAAGAAGTTATTCTGCATTTTCTAAATACTCTCATAGTTTATCTCTCTATACAATTTCCTAAAGGTGTGATTAATTATTAACATCAAAATATCGATACCTAAATTGATGTTTACTGTCATTAGCTTCCTCCATGATGGTTGTTGGAATTACAATCCTCAATTATTAAAATGTTTAAATAAAGTTACAGAGTTATTGAATGATTACTTTATTAATGCTTTTACTTAAATTTAATTATAGTTTGAATTGATATTAATTGTTTGACATAGAGACTGGCAAAAGAATTAGTTATGTATATCTATATTATGAAACTTATATATTATGAACAAGACTGCAAGGAGAGGTTGCTCTTGATCTTGGTTATTAACTTTTGCATCTGTTTGCATGTTCACTACTCCTATCACTGGTTAGCATATTAGACAGTCCACTCTCTAGCTTTCTTGATGGCAGCTTCTGGGTCTTTCTTCCAGAAATCAGCAATTTCTTAGTCAAGAGGATCATCAAGGTTGGGGGCTGACAATAAAGCTTGAATTGACAAAAGAACCTATATTAAGATGTGATATAAACTTCTGATTTTGATAAGTAGGGGTGAATGCTTACGGATCTAATTTAGAGAGCAGGACTCCACTTATCCTTGAGAATATCTAGACAGATTCTACCTATGGAAAAAGTTGGTCTTTAATGAAATTCGTACCTAACTTGTCAATATTTGGATGGAAGATCTTAGTTCTGAAGAGAACTTTGGGTGGGACCATTGGATACTCGTCTGGAAGATAGAGTTCAGCGTGGAACATGCCGCCTTCGTATGAAGTGCCCTCAGGACCAGCTATTTTAACATAGAAGTGTCTGTGATTATTTTCGCTTGGCTCGGCGTAAATACCAACAACTATCGACAATATTAAAAAAGGAAATCGCTAAGGGTATGAATACCTGGTTCTTAAGCAAGACGTTGAGTTTCCTAAAGAAGTTTGATTAATAAATGCAAATGACATACTTTTAAAATTCTGGGAGGAATGCCAGCCATTTCTGATCTATATATTCTAAATAATTTATTATACTTACCAAGTAACTTTCAGAAAATTAAGCATCTAGGGGTTTTGGGGTTTTGGGGAGATCGGAAG